GAAATACTCGAAAATACTCGAATCCAGACCTAGGATATCCTACGTGTTTGATTGATATTGTCAAGATAAAATATTTCTTTACGATCATTTAAAATAGATTCAATTTGTGTAAAATTCAACAAGATCGAGTTCATCATTTCAAAAATTGAATTCCACCTGGTAATACAATCATGTTTTAATGTTATTGGTAAAATATTTTGCAATTCACATCTTTTGAAGTGCGATACTAATTCACGAGAACTTTGAACTAGTACATTAATGATTGTACAATTTTCAATTGTATGTTGAATTGCTAAGTTGATACAATGACATATAATTACATCGAATATGAGCTTCAGACTTTAGGGCACTAATTAAATTGGATGCATTGTCTGTAATAAAAATGATATGTGAATCATTTGGATGAAGGCCAAATGATTCTAATGTATTATATATTGCTTTCCAAGTATTTTCTATAATAAAAGAAAATACTGCAAATTTTGAAAGGTGAATATCGATATATTAAGATTAAAAAGGAAAAATGTATTCAGGATTCTACTGTTCTAGCACAAAACTTTGTCATTTTGTAAACTAAAATTTATTTCCAAGAACAATTTTCAGTTAGTGAACTTACCACCAGTTTTTGATGCAGTAAAAATCATTGTTTTCAACATAAACCTTTTAATTTTCCCATCTTTTCCATAATGTATATTAATAGTCAAATAATTATCCGATGTATACGAGTTTTTCCAATAATCACATGTAATACCAAATAGTTTAACATCATTGATATCATTTTTTAATGTAATAATCAACTTCTTTTTTTCATCTAAACAAAAAAGTAAAATACATCTTCAGAGATTGTTCTTTCGTTTATCATGAGCGACAGATTGTACATGACGAGATATTGTTGTTGAATCTGATAAAATATCTGATGCTTTAATCTGATGAGTACTTGAATGACCAATATCGAGTAGGGTTTGAACTAAAGCTTCAAAACCACGGCCGTTGATAGTATTAAATGATCTCATGTCACATGCACAAAACTTTACACATGAATCTAATACCTTTTTTTTCTGTTCAGATGAAACTTTATCATATTTTTGACTAGTAAAATGAGTTGTAATTTTAGGTGCTATAGCAGGTCTTATTTTGGAATTTTCATGATGAAGCTTAAGTGTTTTAGAACCAGTTTTTTGTGCATCGTAAGATAGAATTGTTTTACATTGAATACATATTACAAAAGGAATAATATTTTCTTTTTCATCTTGAATACGTTTGAATGACTGCCACCATCCAGCACTAGCACCTGTTGGTTTATCACAAGACTTAAATTCACCACTATCTAACTTTTTTCTAATTGAATCTTTATCAATCACAGACATAATTAATATACCAAAATCCACAAAAAACTCAATATATCAAGATGAAATAAAGTAGCAATAAATGAAAGTATTTATCATTTTTTTCGAACGGCTTCATATACATCGTTGATAGTTTCACAGAACGATCAATCATCTATGTGATCAAGTATGTCGCTACTAAACGGTAACATTAAAGTTGAGTATAACGGTTCTTACCCATATCCGTTAATTTCGTACCCGTACCCTACCCGTACCCGTTAATTCCGCACCCGTACCCTACCCATACCCGTTAATGTCATACCCGTACCCAGGTACGGGTATCCGACCCGCGGGTTGCAGTACTCTAGTGCGGGCACGGCTGTGAGTATGAATTATGTCTTCACTCACAAGCACACCCACCCACATCCCACACCCACACCCACAAGCACATTCACATCTATCCACATCCGCACACCTACATCCGCACCCACATCTAAACACCCACACCTGACACCCACATCCACGCACACCCCAAATCGAACATAGTGATCAATTCTACATTAGCCACATTCAACTATAATATTTCTAAAATGAAAAATGTGTATCAATTAGAAGTGAGTTTGAGCATTGCGGAAACTTGTGTCACTACATTAGAGATAAGTGTATCGCTTTCGCTCTCAAATCGACATTATTGATTATAAAATAAAACAGTTCTAAGTCAGATTATGTTCTACATTCGATTAAAAGGATCTCTCGTATTCATACAGATACAGATGGAAGAAGAATATATGCATTGAGACAATTATTTCCTAAAAATAGTTTTTCTAAACAACATTAGCTTCACACAATGAATAGAGTTGTTACTAAACTACATAGTGACACGTTTTTTTGTTGTGTCATAAACGATCTACCATATTCAATTAGTTTTCTTTGCTATTTTCGATTACTTATTGTATACTTATTTTGTTTGTATAAATTCGATGAATAATCGATGACCATACTTGTTCCATGATTGTTCATGCATATTTTGTTGGCATGAAGAATCTATTATTGCCAAGAAGACTATACAGACAGCCTATTATGATATCACGAAAAGAATAATGTGAGAATAAAATAAAGGATAGAGCTTTGATTTGATCACGATTGGCATCGGCTAATGTATATCGATTGCGGATAACACTTCGTCAAGTGTTTCATTGTGGGTTAAATATTCAGTAGAAATACGAGAGATAAACTGCTGACATGAATAGAAGTGTTCGACTCTGAGTTAGTGTTTGGCCTTTTAAGTTTGCAAAGGATCAACTTGTTCTTTAATTCCTTCGTTTTTCTCTTTTGCCGACTAAAATGATTAAAATCGTGTTTATGTCGTCGTTGTTGTAGAAATGAGAGATAGTAAGCGAATGTTATTTCTCTCTGATTTGAATTATCAACGGTTGAACGAATTGCATAATAATATGAATGAATAATCTTAGATGAAGTGGATGATGGAAGAAAATTTCTTCCTTCTCATACGAAATCAATAATCGAAGTATATCACGTATATCTTTGCTTTTTCGCTTCTGCATAATATTTTCCCCTCACACGAAGTATTTTAGAGGCATCAGTTCGGACTCTTTTCTCGTAGCTTCACGGATATTGTAAGTAAAGCCGAGCCAATTTACAATCTCACGTATGATATTCAATTCAATTCAATTATAAAGAGTTCGACAAAGAGATTATTTCATTTTGAACAATTTGTATTCTTCACGCCTTAGAATACGCTGTGCTCACTTTTGATAGCTAAAGTATAAGAGATTGCTGGGCACGATTACTATTTTTTACCAGTGATTTCCGAGCTTACCTTTTGTTTCTAACGCACAGCTTCAACAAAAAGTCATTCGAAATACAGCAAATTTTATGCATTCGCTTCTTAATAGTCTCAGAAACTGTATCGATCATATTGAAAGAAATCAATGTACTCACGACATGTTTTTTAACAATAGATTTATGAGCTACGAATGAAAATAATTTGATTAGTATGACAACTAGCGTTCATTGAGAATCGACTTACTTTACCATAGACTGACGGAATACAAATATGTATTATGGGAATATCAAGGTATACATGTCTTTTAAGTAAGTACTAGATAAATGTAAGAGATAACTTAGTATGCTGTTATTGGACGATATTTATCGTTCAAGCAGCCTCTACATTGTCTGGATGTGAGTGTGGGTGTGCGTATTTTGCCTTGAACTCACACCTACATCCTGAATCGATTTTGCATGAGCATTTTGCTGGAGAGATCGTTTTCGAATAGTTCTGTGACTGAAAATTATTTACAAAGTGAAGATAAGTCATCAGAAAAGTTTCTGCAGGGGGAGCAGAAATCTGTTTCTTCGTTGAAATAACTTTTTTATTCATGAACAATCCCAGTCTTTAGCGCACTCGCAGTCCCATCAGTATTTTCTTGAAAGACTTTTTCTTAAACTGGATATGTTTATGTCAAGAGTGAGGTTTAGAGATGAAAGTCGAACAATTAAACTCTTGAGATACAACGAAGACACAGTCCAATATGTAATTGAATGTGACTGGCTGTAGGCTGTGACTTTGATTTGATCAAGACGAAAAATTCTGTCAACTGCTAACAATCACAACTATATTTTTTTAAATTTTCTTTTTGAAGTTATTCGAAGTCATCATTGTATAAGTAATTCAATGATCGACAACAACAGTATTCATGTTTAGAGTGGTAACCTAATTCTATTGAATGCTTGTGTCACAAAAGCAATCGCTTGTTATTTTTATCGCGATTTTTTCTTCTGTAAAGATTACTTTGTCGAAGAGAAATTAAGTACTAAAGGCTGCAGTGGAGCAATATCCAATTTCTATTTATCGAAAGATTACGTGATGTGCTTCTTCACTTTTGGCAAATGTGAAAAACATTGTCTATTCATTAGATATAAAGATGGATGCCACTAGGGTGTAGGTGTGTGGGTGTGGGGTGTGGATATGGGATGTGGGTGTGGCTGGGTATGGGTGTGGGTGTGGGTGTGAGCGTGGGCGGATGTAGATGGGTGCGGGTATAGGTATGTGGGTGTGGCTGGGTATGGGTGTGAGCGTGGGTAGATTTGGATGAGTGTGGGTCTAGGTGTGGGTCTGCTATTCATCTACACTCACGCTCACACCTACCCATACCCACACCCACGCCCACGCCCACACCAGCCACCCCACACCCACACCCACACCGTCGTAGTTTGCTTTGACTCAACCACGCCTCAATCCGCATTCTTTCGTAATAATTTAATTTTGAAAGCAATTTTCTATTTTGTTCTTCAATTCGACGATAAGGACCTTAATACTCTTCACTTTTTTATGTTTTTCTCCATATATAGCTTGATAAATCGAGAGGCTTTCATTGAAATAGTCAACAGCTTCTTTTAATTTCTTCATGTCTTTATAACATAAAGCAATATTTCTGCTAATATTTGCAACATTCTTATTATCACATGGCGGTATTCTACGCGACAAGTCGAACGTTTTGAGGAGGCGTGATAATCCATTAACTGAAATATTATATTTTGAATAAATACTATCCATAGCTGCAAGATAGTGAATAATTGTTGCACGATCAGTCGGTGTTGTTTGTTCAAGAATCAAGAGAGCTTCGTCATAATATTCGAGTGCTCGATCGACGTCTTTATCTGTACACATCTTAGCCATCATCATCAATATTTGAGCAATACGAGGGTGATTCTCACCAAGAATATTTTTCTGGTCACCGAGTTTTTTCTGACAAAATTCTAAGGCTTTCTCAATCTCGCCTTTCCCTTTATAAGTTTTGACAATCAAGTCGAAGTTTCCAGAGTGATAAGGATGATCAGATGGTAAAAATTCTTCGTCGATCTCGAGTTTTTGATGAAAATAGTCGAGTGCTTTGTCGAAATTTCCTTGATCGAAGTAAACCAGCCCTATATTTCTCAGACACATGGCAATTTGAGGATGTTGCGCTGATAGAATACGTTGAAACATCTCGAGCGCACGAGAAATATATTTAAGCGCAATATTTAGGTCACCCTTCTTTCTATATGCCGTACCAATTTTTCTAACAGTTTGGGCTTTGTGTTCAAGATCGCCTGTGTAGTTTTTCTCATCGATATTTAATGCTTGTTCGTAGTAACTAATTGCTTGATCAAATTGATTCTTTCTTTCGGCTATATATCCAAAACCAAGGAGTGATTGAGCAATTTATGGATGATCAGATGGTAATTGTTGTTTACGAATCGCATAGGCTTTCTCATAATACTCTAATGCTAAATCTAAATTGTGTCTTTTGTCGTGAACAACCCCAATCCAATTGTGCACAGATGCAATGTTCGAATGATCAGACGGTAGTGATTTAAGTAATATTTGAAAATATTTTTCAGCTTGATCAATTTGACCTAATTCATAAACGAGAAGACGGCCAAAATAGATCATTGATGAATAGTAGTCGACACCTTGCTGGATGGATTTGTAATATTCTGCAACACTCTTAGAACGTTCATCAGTTGTTTTCAATTGTACTTTCCAAAGTTGAAGTTTCTCATCAAAATCGACAGAAACAATTACAAAAAGAGAATTGAGACTAAAGAGAACTTCTTCTTCATCTTTCATGTAACTCTTGTTACTGATATCTGCACAAACAACTTTTTTCACCAACGGATCAACTTTAATCTCTAAGAGGACAGAGCGAACGTCACCTGAACTGATGTCTTGACCAGCAAATACACAGGCCACTTCGATATTTCGCGAAGTAGACAAAAATCTATTGATTGATACGATTTTTCCGACATTTTTTTTCAATTTTTCGAATTCTTCAGCTAGAACCCTTTGTCCACGATACAATAATAAACCATTATCAATATTCAATTTCTCACTTTCTCGTTCGATTTCCGAACACAAATTAATAATGAAGAATCGAAATGAATAAAGTAATTCAATATCTTCAGTACGAAGTGTTCTATTCAACAACTTGTGAAGAAAACAACCATCTGTGTACCATTGAATTGCTTCCTCTCGATTATAAGTGTGTCGAAATTTTTCGACTTTCTTCAACTGTTTTTTATCGAATTGATAAGGGTGTGGGTGTGGGTGTGGGTATGGGTGTGGGTGGGTGTGGGTGTGTGGGTGTGGGTGTGGGTGTGGGTGGTGGTGGGTGTGTGGGTGTGGGTGTGTGGGGTGTGGGGTGTGGGTGTGGGTGTGTTGGTGTGGGTGTGGGTGTGGGTGTGGGTGTGGGTGTGGGTGTCGGTGGGTGGGGGTGTGGGTGGGTGTAAATAAATTAGAAGAGCCACACTAACATTCGCACCCACACCCACTCACACCCTCACATCCACACCCACACACAGGCGCCACACCCACACCCACACACCACACCCACATCCACACCCGCACACCCACACCCACATCCACACCCACACCCACACCCACCCACACCCACACCCACACCCACACCCACCCACACCCACACACACGCCCACAATAAATTAATAGTCATATTCTGACAACCTTTTCCTCAAATTGGTAATCAAGCTTATCAACATACACTCATCAAGCTGTTTCCATGGACTTTAAAGACACTCATTGAAACTATAAGTTGTCGTTTAAACATCCTCCATTAATGAATAACTTACATGTGAATTATTATTGTACATTTCAAAATATAATGTGCTCCACTGTTTTTTGAACCACTCATGAACACAATCAGCTACAGACCTGCAGTTTTCACAAATCGATAGAGCAGACAGGAGCATGCCTTCTACTCTAATATTGTATAAGTCGAAATCACTTTAAAATCAGTTATTTCTGCAGAATATTGCAAAAACCATATAAAAACGGTATATCATCCAGATGAAATGTTATGTTGACACGTGATCTAGATAGAGGGACTTGAGATCTATAGTTCAACATATTATTCAAATGATTATCTTTCCACATCTTAACACGTAGGTGAAGTTAGCACCATATTCGCCTAGGAGCATGTTCCAAATGTTCCAATGGTGTTCCAAGTACAACTCAATGAGCTCTATCCAATGGTGCAATCAGATTTTTCGTAGCTCAAACTATGGTACCAAAAATCCCAAAATACTATATTTTCCTATTGGAATTCTGGTACCATATTCGCGTAAAATCGTTCCATATTCGTACAGGAACATGCTCCAAATGTTCCTAGGCGAATATGGGATGGTTTTACTCGAATATGGTGCTA